TGGTACAGGCTCAAATAGACAAAAGCGGCTAGCTGAATTCTAAGGTCATCTGAAAAATCCAACGTTCAAAGTAGGTGTTTCCATATAATATTTTTATTTCCAAAGTAGGTGTTTCCATATAAGATCTAATCATTTTATTTATAATACAGCTTCTTCAAATAGCACTCTACTTCAACAACCAGGGCACTTGCCTGTAGGCAAACAAGTGACAACTGTACATGACAGTTAGGGAGAAGCAGTCAGAATTAGTGTTTTTCATGACCTCTAGAACCAATGCACTAAAATCAATGCCATTTTGGATTCACAAGGAGAGTTCTAAACCCAAGCCATCAACCACATTAGTTTACTTAATGTTAAAGGGAATATAATTTTATAAGGTACTAACTTTAGATTTAAGTATTTGAATTCCCCCTTTAAGCACAATATGGCCATGTTCTCTTATTTCAATGGTACAACAGTAACAGACCATGTCCAGATCATTTCAGTTCAGATAAGACTAAGTACAACCTTTCCAATACATGGATATATTTTTATTTCTTTTCATGTGCATATTAGAAGTAAATTCAAGAAGAGAGAAATATTTTAACTACTTACAGATTCTATTTCTACAACATTTTACAAAATGGGAATAGAGAATTCCTCCCTAGTCAAAACAGTGAATGCAATTTGGAGCTACAGACTTAACAGTTGATAGCAGAAGAGAGAAATCTACAACACAGAGCCTATGCTTAAATTTCCTCAGTGTAGTCAGTGGTCCCTCACACATCATCATACAGAAAACGTTTGTGTCAAAATTAAGGCTATAATTCTATCTCCTGAGTTTAATTTATGAAAGGGAAAATTTCAGTGTTTGTGTAAATGGCATTTTGGCTCTACAGAGTATTTTAAAAGCTAAAACCTGAGTAATTACTTTTATTTGGATATCTTCTGTAAGAAGTGCAAAGTTAGTGTCAACCTGAAATGTGTGAAAAAAAATCTTGTATAATAATTTTGTGTGTTTTTAGCTTCAGTATAAAGAAAAATAAAGCATTTACTTCTCCTCCCACAAAATGTATGGCTACTTAGAAATAAGATGTTTCGCTCTTCCTT